GGCAATCTGTTTCTGGTGTCTGACAACTGGATAGATGGGGGATGGTCAGACACAGGTGGTCAATAATAGACAAGAAGGGCTGGGCTGGTAACTGGAAGACAAATTATTGGAACAAAGATGTGAACCTAAGAAGAGCTGGGCCAGTAGCTGGAAACTCCATTTTGGCTTTCACCCTTTCATGTTAGCCGTTTTGATATATAAAACCGCTTCTGGGTCGGGCTCAGTGGTTCAGCCTATAATCCCAGCAGACTTTGGGAGGTCGAGGAGAGTAGATTTCCTGAGCCCAACGGTTGGAGACTAGCCCCGGCACCTTGGCGAGACCTCATTTCTACAATGAATAAAAAGTTAGCCAGGCATGGTAGTGCGTACCTGTAATTCCAGCTACTTGGAAGGTTGAAGCAGATTGTCGGTGCCCAGCGTGTTGTCCCTGGGATGGCGGTGAGCCTGGGAGACGGAATGAGATTCCAACTCAAAAAAATAAAATAAAATAAAACTGCTTCTGTAACATGTTTGATACTTGTTCAATTTGTCTATAAACCTGTCTTTAAGTCTTCAGGGGCTATGAGGAGGCCTAGCTTCAGATATTGTCTTTGTACGTAATTGAAATTGCTTACCTTTTAGGTTTTTAACTACAAATAGTCAATTCTTAAATAAATATATATTTAAAATACATATATTTGTGTATTAATGCGTATAGATATTAGATATAAGAGAAAGTAATCTATATACAAAATGTATAAGGAAAGTAGGATATGTTTGCTAAAAAGTTATATGAAGTCATGGAAATAGGTTTTTTGCTAAAGAGAAAGTAATTTATTCTTTAGAGGGACTTTTTAATCCAAGGAGTAAAATGATAGCTAAAACTCAATAGATATATAAAGTTAGAAAAGAAAGAAAAATTTAAAAACCGTAAAAGGTTTATGAAAATCTTACCTTATGGTCAAACTGATTGAGATTGGAAGGATTTGTTAACAACATTTTTTTGAAACTTACTTTAGTGTTAATAATACATTAATGCAAATAATAATAATAATGATACACTAATGCAAAGATAAAACTTGATTTTCTCTTTTGACAAGATTTTTCTGTAAGATTAAAAAACAAACGTTTTATGTTTACCTTTTGAATAAACCACAAAAAAGTAGGGAGAAAATAGAGGTATTGGCCTCATGCTGTCTGTATTGGTTCTTATTTTTTGGGAAACTGAGTTTCCTCTCTATCAAAGAGTAAAGGTTTTTAAAATCTTTGAATTATCTTTTGGCTAAATAAATGACTTATTCTACAGGAGCCTGTGATCCTACTTTGTGATAATAAGTGTTTTAAACCTTTAATAGTTTCCAAATTAAAATTTCAAAATCAAAATTCCAAGTTTTAAATTCAATCTTTTTCACCTGAATACACTTTTTAGATATTAGGTCCCCTGAAATCCAAAAGAGATGTATTAGGCTTATTTGATATGGTAAAAATCATATAAGAAGCATTGTCAACTATGAAAAGATGCTTAGCCTTCTTTGGATTTTCTTTATATAAATGTGTTAATATCTATTCCAAAATCATATGAGATTCCTAAAATTATGGTAGGTCTTTGTATATGTTAGTAGTAAAAATGGAGATAATTATGTTGAATTGTCGTATGTCACAGAGATTACCAAATTTCCTTGTCAATTGTATCTTTAACCATGACTGTTCTAAGACATTTTCCATCCACAGGGAATTACTGTTTTGCTTTGAGTCTTCTCAACAAGTGGTTTATAAAAAGCTACAGTCCAAAACTTACTTCTTTAGGAGAGTTCATAAAAGGACTCTGATGAGTGCTCTTGAATTCAGGTTTCTGATAAACTTTGGAGTCTGATAACTTTGTGCCATTGGACTAGGAAAAAAGAAAAGTCAAGAACTCCTATTGGAGAACTGAAGTGTTAGTGAAGATTGCTGGCCCAATTTCAAGCAGAACAGGAGTTAATTGCATGAACTGAACTAACAGAAGACTGAAATAATTTCTATGACTTTTTTTTGAATATTGCTGATTCTTTTTGTTTTGTTTTTCAGAGTCAAGGAAAAAAAATTTTTTTGAGGCATTTACACCTTTAACAGTTGAGTAAAGTATACTCTTGCAAGCAAAATTTGAAACTTATTTATTTCTCTCTCCCAGATTTCTCCAGAATTTGAGAACTTCTTGTGAATATACTTCATTTATGGCACCATAATTGCATTAACCCCCATACAAATGAACCTTCAAGTTGCAAACTTTCAATGATGTCAACATGTTCTTATGTCCAATCACATAAGTTAATTCACGTGTCTGGTGTACATTGTCATGTGCATGAATTCTCTAAAAGTGATTGTGCTTTTGTGTATTTTACTGTACAGTACTGTTTGTTTTTTATATAATATTTGTGTGAAAAGTATTATAAACCCATTATAGTATAGTACTACTTAGCCAGTTGGCTTAATTGGGTACCTTGGACTTTGTTGGACCTACGAAAAAATTGAACTTATGAATACACTCTTAGGGTGGAACTTGTTCGTTTGCAGGGAACTTACTGTATTTGCATAAGTTCAATAAGAATCTGCGGTTTTTTGTTTTTGTTTTTTATAACGGGGCACCTTTGGAGACACTGGTTATTTACCACAGCTTTGACTGGAATGGAATATCTTCAGATATAAGCATACTGTTTTGAAGAATTGAGATTTACTTTATAGAGCCAGTAAAATCCCCTGGTAAAGACTGGGCTCTCATCTTCTCCGTTCCTTTACAGGGTTTCTGACCTTTGGTAAGTAAAGGTCACTCTCTAACAAGCCCAGGAACCCTAAGTAATTTGGAGACCTCAAGAAGAGAGGAATTTACTCAATTCATACAGGTATTTGGAGGCACAGATAAATCCTTGGCTGGGTTTGAGAGACTTTAAAAAAATCGAATCTGAGATTTCTTAGGAAAAAAGTTACAGCAGAGCCAATTTAAAAGAGCTTATACAGCAAATAATTATTCTTGCTGCACTTAATACAAATAATCAGGTCAAGTACAATAAGACTAAAACTTATTTTCCAAATAAATTGGTCCTATTATGATTTTTGTTTTGGTAAAAATGAGGGAGGAGAGAGAGAGGGAAAAATTATGTTTCCAAACACCTGTTATTAGATTCTAGCTTTTTTCATTGTTTTTTAGTTTTCATGATTTGTCTGCAATTTATTTAGACTGAATCCATAATTCACAAGTCTCCAAACTAATGTTTTCAATTTTTGTTTCTTTTTTCATTTTCTTCTGCCATTTTTCTAGCTTGGAATCAGTAGAAATTAAAACTAATTTTTCTTAAAGCCCTGAAAACTGAAGGTAGACACTTAAACTTTGGGAGAAATAATACCACCTGCATATTGTTGTATAGACTTTTCAGTCATATTTAAAGGATCGTTTTCCCTTTTTTGCTATAATCTGGTTTGGGTCCACTTTTCTCCTCTTTTTTTCCTGTTTTCTTTCTGTCTCCTTCCTTCCATTTTTCTCCGTGGGACATAAGACTACATGATTTCCTAGGCACAAGCCTTTCTAGCAACATGGGACCTTACCTTTTTGTAATAAATCATCCTATTGACCAGGGATCAGACCAAACTCAAGACCGAGACTCATTAACTTCTACAACGTGTTTTCTGAACAATTTTGAAGAACAGAGGAGAAATGTGAAAGAAAAACAAAAGAATCTCAGGATCCCAAACTTACCAGCCAAAACGAAAATTAAGTTTGAAAACTGATTCACACACACACACACACACACACACACACACAAACTCTCACACACACACACACACACACACACACACACACACAACTGCCTTCCTTTTGTTCCCAAAGGGACAGCTGTAATTTAACATGCTTACTTTATCTTATGTAAAATGTACTTTTACTGAGCATGAGATGAATACTTAATTGACTTTTTCTCTACCTTCCACTTTTTACATGTAAATGTAGATTCCCTTGAGCCTAATGAGTCTAATCAAAGCCTCACAAGAATGTTAACACTTGTAGCATTGTCTACTCCCTGCCCTTTCCCCTCCTTTCTCTTCTCCTACTTGCTCTTTTCCCTTGTTGAAGTCCTCAAAACCCTCTTTGGAAAAAGCTCTGGTTACAGATACTACTGTGCGTTGTGTTTCTTTTCCTCAGACATGTTAAATATTTATATTTAATAATATATGTCTAAGTAGATTACTGTGATTTGTAAGATAATGCTATTTAATGACTTGGCAGTATCTGATGGAATACAGTTTGACTAAACATAGACTTAACTAAAAAAAAAACAAAAACATCAAATTGATATGGGATTCAAGTAGCCAGGCACGGTGGCTCACGCCTATAATCCCAGCACTTTGGGAGGCTGAGGTGAGAGGATTGTCTGAGCCCAGCATTCACGGGTTAGAGACCAGCCTGGGTAACTTGGCGAGACCTCATCTCTACAATAAATAAAGAAATTCGCCAGACAAGGTGGCGTGTGCCTGTAGTTCCAGCTACTTGGAAGGCTAGGTGGAAGGATCACCTGAGCCCAGTAGGTCGAGGTTGTGGTGGCCAGTAACATGCCACTGCCCTCTAGTCTGGCTGACAGAACGAGACTGCAACTCAAAAAAAAAAAGTAACAAGTGTAATATAACGAATAATGTCATGAATTAATCCAGGAATTCAGAGAGGTAAAAGTGAAGAAACATAAGTATAACCCCAAAAGCAATAAAATAAGTGTCCGATTCAAAGGAAAAGTAGTTTAAACTCAGGAAATGGGATTCCCTATGCCTACCAAATAGTTAAGAACCAGCAGGGTAGTCTACAGTAGACCTACAAAGGGCCTAGGATCTATTTTACTGTGGTCCTCTTTGTTATCTGTTTTTATTTAAAATATTTTTTTTTCAAAAACTTATACCATGCTAAGGAGTAGTAGTCTCTTCCCAGGTTTAGTAAACAAAATGACTTTCTCTGCTTAAACACTAGAAATTCCAGCAGATTCTACCTTTTCCCTAGCAGGCAAAGTAACATCTTAGACATGGCTCCAAGAATCAACATGCCAGATCCTGTGTGCCTCATTGAGAACACTGAGGGGAAACTGAAAGTTAACCTGGACGCTTTGGAGATCCTGTCTGGCATTACAAAGCCTGTGGTGGTGGTGGCTATTGTGAGCCTCTACCGCACGGGCAAATCCTACCTGATGAACAGGCTGGCAGGAAAGAACAAGGGTGAGTGGCACCAGTTTAACTCTGCCAAGTCTCTTCTGTCCACCCACATGGTCAGTATGTGGATGTGAGGAGGGAAAGTTACAGATGGGGATTGATGTGAAAAACCAGCGTTTAGGCCATAGTTGGTCTTTATCTTCTGGGAGACCAAAGATCGCTCTCTGTTCCTAATATGTGACTTTTTTTTTGTCTTAATATCTCCTTGAAAAAAAGCATGATTTGTTCCCCTCATAAGGAGTGAGACATCAATGAAATAATTTTCACATACATAATTATAAACTAGCCAAATTTTATTAGCATATTACTTTTTCCAGATAATCAAATTTCCAACATATGATATTTGATATTCTTTTTCCATTTCTCTACTGTAATTCAGATCAATACTGGTTGTACTTTTTGCTATCTTTTCATTTTGCTTTCCTTCAACCCTAGCTCAATGATCAAGAAAATAACTCAGATTCCAGACTCTTTTTTCTTACAATCTCTCATTCCTCTTGGTAGGCTTCTCTGTTGGATCCACGGTGCAGTCTCATACCAAAGGAATCTGGATGTGGTGTGTGCCTCATCCTAAGAAGCCAGGCCACACCCTAGTTCTACTCGACACAGAAGGCCTGGGAGATATAGAGAAGGTAAGGACAAAGCATTACTCTTCTTTCTTTCTTTCTTTTTCTTTTTTTTGAGTTGGAATCTCTCTCTGTCACCTGGACTGGAGTGCAGTGGCACGTTCCCGGCCACCGCAGCCTCGACCTTCCGCTTCAGCCTTCCAAGTAGCTGGAACTACAGGTGCGTGCTACCACGCCTGGCTAATTTTTGATTTATTGTAGAAATAAGGTCTTGCCAAGTTGTCCGGGTGGGTCTCGAACCCCGCAGGCTCAGGCAATACACTGGCCTCGGCCTCCCACAGTGCTGGAATTACAGGCTGAGCCACCGAGCCCAGCTGAAGCATTCCTTTTTTAACCTCCTAATCTCTGAACATGTTGTATACAGGAAGTTTTTAGGCGTCTTTTTATTTTTACCAATGAAATAAATCTTTAATTATTTCAAATCTGTATAAGCATATTTAAAAATAATTGTATCATAAAAACATTATATCTTAATTACAGAATTTGGGGAAATATGGACAAATGGAAAGAGGTAAAGACACAGTCATAGTTTATTTCCTCCAAACAATCAGTGTTGACATTTTTTTAAGTTTTTGAGTTTATTTTCTAAATTTGTATTTTCATTTGAAAATACATTTCATACTTCCTCCCCCACACACACACTTTTAATAGTGAGAATTTGGAACCCCATGGTGAGAAAATATATTTATAAGTCAGAATCAGTGTTAGGAGAACTGCTCTGATACCAAGCTAGGCAGTTAACCCAAATGCATACAGATGATGCAAATGAAATCACTTTCACAAGGTTAGTCCCGCAGATTTTACTGGTTGACAGTGGACTCTGGTCTCAGATGACTTGTGTTCAAATCTGAGCCCAGGCATTTGTTGTTCTCTGACTTTGACAAGAGGATTAAGTATCTTCAAATACTTTATTTTCTCTTTGGTCTTATTCAATTCATTATTTAAAATAGTAGCTACATGAGCCATATCTGGTTGTATTCTGTTAAGTGCTTAACAACCATTTCACTGAGGAAAAACAAACAAACAAACCTTGATTTGTAGCACTTTACTGTTTCCTAAATACTCCCATCATAACTGATTTCAAGTTACCAAAGTAAAGCCACAAAACTTAGACTTGGGAAGTCATGTACACATGTCACAAGCTGATATGAGCTAGCTTGAACACACAACTAAACCTTTCTCTTGAACTTCCATTTTTTAAACGTTTTCGTTTGTTTTTGATTTGCCAAGATTCAAAGATGGTAAGTTACAATTTGAGCTTCAGTTTCCTTATCTACAAAATCAAGATAGTAGTTATAAACTCATAGCAGTTTTTATTTGTTTAGAATTAGATAAGATAGTAATGTTAACTAAATTACGGATAATAATTATTCAATAAAATAGATATATGTATTGTGCATATAAGCCAATTTTATTTTATACTCTAAAAAACCTTGATTTTTTAAGTACTCTGATTGCTCCCAGTAACTGACTAGCCCTTTTGCAAATATCTAACAGCAGTAGATAGTAATAACATTAGTAGTAGCGGGACTAGCAAGTTAACAATCTATTCATCAGTATAAAATTAGCAATGTGAATAAGAGAACTATTCAACATTAATGTTTCTAACAATCATTCTTGTTTGTTTTATTTAGAATTTGTGGGTCTAAAGTCTATTTTTAAAGATTGCTCATCTGGTAATCCCATGAGACATGACTTACACTTTTTCTGACTTCTAGACTGACAACAAGAATGATACCCAGATCTTTGCACTGACTCTCATTTTGAGCAGCACTTTGGTGTACAATACCATGAACAAAATTGACCAGGGAGCTATCGATTTACTGCAGTATCCTTTTATGGTCTAGGAGAGCACCAAAGCCAGAGAGAACTCGTGAAAACATGAGAAATATTGAAAGCACAAAGAGAAGAGCTTTTATGTTTACTGTTGAAATGATGATTTTCTTAAGACCCAAAAGGGAAATAAAGATTTGAGGAGACACAGAATTAAATATAGTCTTGAATGCAGTCCCATCTCTGCCAGTTGTCCTTAACTGCATCTCAGCAATGTAACAGAACTGACAGATCTGCTCAGGGCAAGAACCTCACCAGACCTTGATGGAGCTGAAGATGCTGCTGGTAGCATGAGTTTCTTTCCAGACTTAGTGTGGACTCTGAGAGATTTCTGCTTAGACCTAGAAATAGACGGGCAACTCATCACAGCAGATGAATACCTGAAGAATTCACTGAGGCCAAAGCAAGGTAATTTCTGTTTTGGAAAGATGAAAAAAACATAACTCAAGAAATACCCTCTTTTGTATAGATTTATAGTTTTCCATATTTACCCACATAACTCTCCTATAAAATAAATAATAAATATTATTAATTTATAATGACCTAGTAGATTTAATATTAAATTACATTACTTCTCTCTTCTCAGAACAATTTTTTTCTTTCCTTGATTCGTTACCTTTTTGTTTAGGGTTTATAAAGATATATGAAACTGAGTAACATCAGGGGAAGGATGTTTACTTGAGATAAACAGATGAAAATAAATATAAATTCTGCACTAAATAAATTCTAGTTTTTTCTTCTACAGGTAGTGACCAAAGGATTCAAAATTTCAATTTGCCCCGTCTATGTATACAGAAGTTTTTTCCAATAAAGAAATGCTTTATCTTTGACTCTCCCACTTACCAAAAGAAGCTTGCCCATCTTGAGACACTGCATGATAATGAGCTAGATCCTGAATTTTTGCAGCAAGTGGCAGAATTCTGTTCTTACATCTTCAGTCATTGTATGATCAAAACTCTTCCAGGAGGTATCAAGGTCAATGGACCTCGTAAGTACATTGTTTAGGATTTTCCTTCAATTCAATGTATTATAAAATTAGCAACACATAAGATTATCCTTACAGTGTCAATGTTGACAAATCATAGGCAATTACTACCATGAAAATCACATATAACACATTTATTAACTTCCAGTGGATATCAAACATATTTCTGCTGCTTTTTTAGTAATGACTTTAAGGTTACATAACAGAGGAACACAATCTGAAGGTAAGACAAAGAATTATTGTGCCAGACTAACCCACATAGGCAGGCAAAATTTGCTCGACAAAGATATTGGATCCTTATTATTCTGTGATAGGCACAAGATGAGCAAGATATATATGTTTCTTGTGTAAATGGAACTTGGTTGGTTCAAACATTAAACAAAGGCCTGAAAAGAAATCTAAGCAGACTACTTGGTCTAGTTTTTCCTAAGAAATCTATGTCTCAGAACTCTAAATAATTGGTACATTGTAGAGGGCAATTGAGTTCAAACAAAAGTGTGCAAATGACAAGGATGTACAACAGGACAGTTCCAACAAAGAGTAAGAGAAACTTAGTTTTGTTGGAGGAGAATAGCTCTCATAGTAGCTTAGCCATATTAAAGTGAAATAAAGAAAGAATTCTGAAGAGCATGAAAAACTGATGAAGGGGAAAAAATGGGAAGATTAAAGAGGCAACAGTCTACAGTATTCCAATCAAATGAATATGCATGAGTTCCATATCATCATCTCATTTTTCCTTGAGAGGAGGATGAAACACAGATGTGGGGGTAAATGCAAAACATGTGCCCCCTCCCTCTTCCTTGCTGATAACTGTCTTCCAAATGGGAGAATGGCCCCTGGCTAAGGCTATGTGTCTGGTTGAAATGCTCTTGAAGTCTTTGGGAGGCTGAGGTGAGTGGATTGCCTGAGCCCACGGGTTCGAGACCTGCCTGGGCAACTTGGTGAGACCTCATCTCTACATAAATCAAAATGAGCTGGGCATGGTAGCGCGCGCCTGTAGTTCCAGCTACTTGGAAGGCTGAGGCACAAGGATCACCGGAGCCCAGCAGGTCGAGGCTGCAGTGGCCAGGAGCGGTCACTGCACTCCAATCTGGGTGACAGAGTGAGACTCCAACTAAAAAAAAAAGAAAAGAAATGCTCTGAAGGTATGCATATCTGCGAATTCAAGACAGTTTCCAAGAGAAAGTATCTTTGTTTCTTTTTCTTGGCACTTAATGTTTGCTCCCTTTCTCATGCCAGGGGTACGTAATCTCTCCCCCACGCCTATGGGACGTAGAAAACCTTTTACTGACCAGCCGTCATCGATTCCCTCCCATAAGTAATAATAAATCCAAATCTTTACTAACCTGCCCTCTGTGTGATTTCTTCGGAATAGGTAAACATTACGCGAGCGCTCTGTCTGATTTGGAGCTGCCAGCGATACTGTGGGCAATTACATATATCTTGAGATTTACCTTATTTTCTTCTTTGGGCAATGCTTCTTTTCCCAAAGAAGAAAAGACCTGGCTTCTTGATCACACAGTTTCCCAAAGGAACATATGTGGGCCTCTTGAATGCTGTCCAGAATCCTAAAAAAATTTCAGGCAATGCACGGTTCATTACACATTCTCAGAATTACACAATATAGATTGTGCCTTCTTTCTCTGGAAATAATACAAGCATTTCTTTCTTCTGTGAAGGTCTAAAGAACCTGGTGCTGACCTATGTCGATGCTATCAGCAGTGACAATCTTCTCAGAATGGAGAACGCAGTCCTTGCCTTGACCCAAAAAGAGAATTTGGCTGCAGTACAAAAGGCCGTTGCTTACTACGACTGGCAGATGGGCCAGAAGGTGCAGCTGCCCACAGAAACATTTCCGGAGCTGCTACACTTGCATCTAGCCAGT